GCGGCCGCCGGCCCCGTAACGGAAACACTCCAAAAAAAAAAAAAAAAAAAAAAGAACTTAGAATACTCACGCCAGGCGCATGTGCATGCATACCCAAGATCCCGAAAGGAGAATGGAGGAGAAAGGATTGCAGCATGGTCATCCCCCCGGGGGGTGATTTCTCGCTTTCTATCTTTCTGTCTCTGTCTGTCTTTCTAGCAAGTGCACGCTCCCTATAGTAAAAACCTCTCAAAAAGAACTTAGAATAGTTATAGTGGTACAGTGTTGCTGATGGTTTTTTTTTTTAGCATAAGACAAGTATTTACAGAAATAATCTGAGGAATGCAGATAGAGAAAGAGCATTGACCTGGGTAAGTGGAGCTGTTCTATGGCCCTGGATAATACTCCAAGCCTCTTTTGAGCAGCTAATTTTTCTGTTGTATTGAGAGACTTTATTCTAGGTGAAGACCATTGACAATCAAGAGACATTATACACAGAAGATCAGATAATTTTTAAATTTATTTATTTATTTATTTATTTATTTACATTTGACCAGAGAGAGAGAGGCAGAGTGAGAGAGTGAGACAGAAGGTGCCAGGTCTGGGATTCGAACCATAGTCGGCCATGTGGGGGAGTCCAGTGCCCTTAGACACCATGCCACCTACCGATCCGTTAACTGTTCCTTTTTAAACTGATTTGTCATTTGTGAGCTCTTTGAAGACTGGGCTGACATCTTTGTGAGTGGATTCTTAACCTTTATTTGGAAAAGGGGTATTCTTTATTTTTAACTACATCATTTTTTTTTTAAACATCTTTAGGTCGTCTCAATGATATATATGGAGACTACAAATACACATACTGGTCTTGTGGAGCAATCTTAATTGTCGCAGGCATCTATCTCTTCATCGGTATGGGCATCAATTATCGACTTCTGGAAAAAGAACAAAAAGCAGAGTCAGAGAAAAAGGAAAGTAAAGAAGAGGAGACCAGTATAGATGTTGTTGAAAAACTAAAAGAAGTTAATAAAGCAGCAGAATCTCCCGAGCAGAAAGGCACTGAAGGAGGGCCCAAAGAGGAAGAAAGTCCAGTCTGAACCCCTGGGCTTACGGGTAAATGGAGCAGATTGTGACCCAAGATATCTTGACAATATTCTACTGGCCTGTAATCTACCAGTGGTGCTCAATGAAGATGGTGGACGTTTCTGTGGAAATCATACTAGGTGTCATTGATGGGATTTTTGATTCACTCCCTACCAATAGCCTGAATTAAAAATGCCATATGTTTTGGGGAGGGAGTGGTTAGCAAAGGATGAGAGAGGAAGTAGGTTTTTTGTTTTATTTTATTTTAATCTTAGCTTTTAACAGTGTCATGAAGATTATAATATGTGCCTTAAGTTTTAGTCTTTAGAACTCTCTAGAGAGCCTTAACTTTTTAAACCATTCTGCTGAATTCATCTATTTTAAGCATTGTGTTAAAAGGAAAAATAACAACTAACTAGTTTGAGGCAAGTCTAAAAAATTAATTCTGCTTCATTGTTATTTGTAAGGTATCATCAGAGATTGTCACTGGAAGACTTAAGAATAGAAATAATTGGTTAAAAGTTGAAAGTTTATAAATGCTGACTAGAATATTTTCCTAGCATCAATAATTGCCTGGCATACGTGCCTGTTAGCTATATATTTAGGAAATTTAAAACAAAACATTGGGAAAATGTTGCCACTCTAGCCACATTGTACTTGTCAACACCTCTCAGATACCTTTTCTTAGGATGCTTATTAGAAGCCCAGTGCTTAAGGATTGTTTTCATTAAATTATTACTTTTACTCCTCCGTTTAAGACACATTTTGAGTGACTATAGATCACTCCCCCTTTTGAAATCACTTGGTAATATTTTTCTCATGTAAAGTTAGTATTACAATGTACAAAATTATATATTTGTGCCTCCTTAGTAAACACAACACATCTAATTAAACATAGGCAGATCATTTAAACATCAACTAAATTCAGCTTAGGTTTTCCCAAAACCTCAGTTAAACTGTGAGACTTGGAATCTCCCCCACCCTGGAATGTTTCCCCTTTGATTCATACTGGTTCCATTTATATCTACTGCTGGCTTAGAGCTGTGTGTGAGATATTCAGTCTGTGTGTTTGGTGGTTTTGTTTCTTGTTTTTGTTTTTTTTTCCCCCTCAGTGTTTGAAAATTAATGAGGGCCAGAAAAATTTGGTCCTTGGCAAACCAATAAAGATAAAATTGGGATGGCAGTTGCTAAATATGCTGAGTTTAAATAAGTAATTGTTTTATTCTGAGAAGGCCTTAAAGAGAATTATGTTATGCTTAGAATGATTGAACACATTCTTACTCTCTATACATACGTAAGGATTTTGTGACTCCTTTCACTTACTGGAAAAGTAGAGAAGTGGGTTCAGTATCAGGATAGGAGGGAGGGCGGACCAGAATGAAAGGTGTAAATATTTTTTAAATCTAATTATCTTTTAAATTGAGGCAGAAAGATACAGACTTTCAATGGACTATATTCAATGCATTTAAGATACCACTGTAATTGACAAAGCGAAAGTATAGATGCAGACCTTGTATAAGAGGCTGACTTTTCCAAATAAACATTTTTTTAAGAAACTGTTTCTTACTCCAAATGTTTATTTTCTTGAGGAAGATATTGCTGTGTCTTCGTTTCCATTATCAAGTTTCAGTCTGGGCCTTCCTAATATTAAGTCGAATCGCTTATGTACCTTGAGATTTGTGTGTATGGCTTTATTTTGATGTTCTCCTTTCTCCTTTGCTCTTCTTCACTCCAAGACAAGCAGGAGGGGAATTTGAAACCATCTCTCTTGAACTGAGAGTATCCAGAGCATTTAACTTTAAAGACACAATGAAAAATTCCTTTCAAGTCTAATGGCAGATGGAGGAAGAAATTTGAGGGGAGAAGCCTGCTTGGCCCCAGTTTGGACTCTGCTACTTTCCCTGACCTGTCTGTAACTGTATTTCTTTTCCCTTCTATAAAAATAAGAATTACTGTTGGTGAGAGAATATAAATAAAAGAAATATTTAAATAAAAGAAAGAATAGCCAGTGTAAAGAATTACTTTCTCCCATCCCAGTTGTTGAAGCTATATCCACACAACAGATCCTGCTTGATCTGTGTTCAGTAGTTGAATCTCATGAGTGGAGTGTGGGTTTTTTGTTTGTTTGCTACAGGGCGCATGCGCTCGCCAGACAGACAGAGAGAGACAGAGAGACAGAAAGCGAGAAATCACCCCCCGGGGGGATGGTCACACCGCAATCCCTTCTCCTCTATTCTCTTGAGATCTTGGGCACACATGCACACGCACCCGGCGTGAGTTTTAAGACACCGGGTCCGGGACGTGAACCACGGTCGACTACGTGGGAGTCCAGCAACATAGCCATTACGCTAACTGCTGGTCCCATGGAGTGTGGGTTTTATGATGCAGATACAATTCCACTTAGAACAAGGAAGAGTTCTGAAGTTGCTATATTCAGAAGCGAAAAACCTGACTTTTTTTCTTCATCCATGACAGAGCATGTGTGAGTACACAGAGAGAGATAAGAGAGAGGTACCCTTCACAGCCTCTGGCTACCCACAACCCCTTCCTCCAGTCTCCGAGCCCATCAGACTGTGGGCACACACACGTGTACTCCAGTGTGGTTCAGGCTGACTGAGCCAGGGAGTCAAACCACAGTAGCTGTGTGGGATCCAGTTTCTCTTGCAGCTCATTACCCTGTGCATGGAGCCGGCCTAGAAGAGCTAAACTTTTTATCACCCATCCAACCCTGACTTTTCCCCACTGAAGATAAGAGGATTAACGGATTTATTCTAAATCAATTTTGGTAACAGCTAACACTGAAACTCGACATTGCTCTGTTCTGTGCCATCTCTCCCTTGTTAACAATCACCTAACCATCTCTGGTGAAAATCAGCACTGGGAGCAGCTGGATTTTCTGATCCAGTGTGTTAACTCCAGCTCCATTGGAAGTTTTATTACAGTTCACATGGCGGTATTGTCCTGGCTGCTCCGGGAAAGTCGATGTCTGCAGAGAGCACCTGCTTAGCTTCTCTTCTGCACCCCACACCCTCTGTAAGTCACCGAGTGAACATATGCAGCTCTTAAGTCTCAGTGCCCAAAGAGGCACGAGACTGTTCCAGAATATACTTGGAAACAGGCTCCCCGCTCACAGCAGGAAAGTTACTTAAGAAACTGGTAAGTTGGATAGTTGCAAAAGTTCATGGTAACATATCCCAGACCATATTACTATGTTATACTCAAGTCTACTGAGAAGTTATCTTAACTAGCTAAGATAAATGAATAATTTGGACAGAAAATATTCAGGGAAAGATGATGGTAAGAGAAATGATGAAAAATTCAGAGGGGGGGGCCCGGCAGGTGGTGTGATGGTTAAGGGCGCTGGACTCCCACATGGCTGGCCGTAATCTGAGTCCCAGACCTGGTGGCTCACTTTCTCACTTTCTCTCTCTGTCTCACTTTGTCCCTCTCTGGTCAAATTAAAATAAAGTTAAATAAAATAATTCTTTAAAAAAAGAAAAATTCAGAGGTGTTCTGTCCCTGACTTAGTCACATTGATGAATTATCCAGCTGGATTCTTAGGTTTTCTGAACTTAGTACATATATATATATGTATGTATCTATATATATGTCAGTATTGAAAATTGCTTACCCTATATTTTAAAAAGGAAAAACATGGTTATGTATGAACTAATGTGTTGAATTTCAGAATGATAAAGGGTATAGGTTGCATGTTTGTATGAAAAACCTGAATCTCTGGGTTTCACCTTTCCTAGCAAATGGTTCACAGTCTAATAAACTATTCGTCAGCACAGATAGCACCACCCCTCATGCGTGCATGCAGACACACACTTTTGCTTGAGCAGATAAGGAAAAGTTAACAGTAAATTTCCGTTTTTGCAACACGGCTTGCTGTAATAATTTGAGTCAGGCACTTGCCTAGAAGACATGAAGAAAGAGGTTAATATAGACTTGTGTAACTATGACCCTCTTTCAGTACTCGACGGGAAGTGACAGCCCAAGCCTGCCTGGCTTGCCCAAATGTGAGCAATCAGGCCAAGTTGCTTCACATTTACAGGCCTCTGGGCAGGGAGGGGCAGGGCAGCGGTGTGGGGGGAGGGTTAGTCAAGTACATGGCTCCTGGAATGTGTTCTATCTTCTAAGGTTTTAGATTCAGTCTCTCTTTACTTCCATTCAGTCTAGACCATGATGGCAGAATCATTCCAGTACGAACAGCTGGAAGCAGTAGTGTGACTGTAGAGTAGTTTTCTCAGGTGAGGAGCCTCTGTTACTTTCTACTGACACTCCGGCTTGCCTAGAGGAGATAACGACAACTTGCAAGGATTCACAGCCTGCTGTGTAGCCAAGCTATTATACTTAGCCTCCCTAAGCAACAGGGTTTTTTCTTACGTGAGATGTTAATTACCACCCACCCCTGGGTTGTCATGAAGGTTAATTGATAGGTGACAGGTGTATTAAGTGCTTAATAAACATAAGCACTTGACTACAAAAAAAGATCATGCTTGGGGAAAACATTGGGCCCTTATAATTCCAAAAGAAAGATTCTTACTTGCAGAGGATGATTTCAGAGTGACTTTTTTTCTTTTGCTCTTCCTTTTTTTTTTCCCCAGTGGTCAGAACACTTGTACTTGTTAGGAGAGAAAAAGCACCTCCCCAATGGGGCGTGGTCACACTACAATCCCTTAATTTCTCTATCATATTCGGATTTGGGGCATGCATGCACACATGCCTAGTGTTTTTCAAGTCATTGGGGTCAGAACTTGAGCTGTTACTGGACAGGGGAGCGGAGCTGCATTGTGAAGTATTGGGTTCTTTAGGCCCAGACCTGTAAGGTTAGAGTTGTGCCCTAAAATGCAGAAAAAAAGGCAACTGAGTAAAGCAGGGAAAAGTTTTAATAAAAAAAAGATGTTTAATACAAAATAAATACACCCCCACACCAGAAAGGCATGTGGGTAGTCAGCTGTCAGAAGACAAATGCATAGTGGCTGTGTCACTGGATTCCCACGTGGTCGACCGCGGTTCGCGTCCTGGACCCGGTGGCTTAAAACTCACGCCGGGCACGTGTGCGTGCGTGCCCAAGATCCCAAGAGGAGAATGGAGGAGATGGGATTGCGGCGTGACCATCCCCCCCTGGGGGGTGATTTCTTGCTTTCTGTCTCTGTCTCTCTCTGGCAAGCGCATGCGCCCTGTGTCAAAAAGCTTCTCAAAAAAAAAAAAAAAAAAAAAGACAAATGCACTGGGCAAGGGGTTCAGTTTTATTTCTATTGTGGGGTTTTGTCCCGAATATTTAGGAGGGGAAGTTTGTCATTGTAGCTGTTTCTTTTTGAATTCCTGTGCTTCCATCTGGCTTGCATACCTTCCCTTCAGGTAAGGAATTTGAGGAATTTGATTACCCAATTACACAGGCCCATGTGGACTTTAGAAGGTATGAGCATCCCCACGGAGACTACTCTGTCCCTATCAGTTTATTGCCCCAATGGGAGTTAGGATGTTGACCTAGCATCCCATCCCAGTGGTGAGTTTCTGTGTATATTTGAGATGGCAGGAGGAAAGAAAAACCTTCCGCAAGTGCTATTCTTTAAGAAAGCCTAGGGGGAACAGCAGATGACGTGATGGTTACATTGCTGGACTCCCATGTAATTGACCACAGTTCAAGTCCTGTACCTGATAGCTTGAGCTCACACTGCACAGCGCGAGCATGCGTGGCCAAAATCCCGAGAGGGGACTGCGGTGTGGCCATCCCCACTGGGGGGTGATTTCTCAGTTTCTCTATTTCTGTTTCTCTCCCTGGTGAGTGCATGTGCCCTGTAGCAAAAAAGAAAGAAAACCTATGTACTGGGGCCAGCAGGTAGCATAGTAGTTAAGGCACTGGACTCCTGCATGATTGACCGCAGTTCAAGTCCCAGGCCTGGCAGCTTGAAACTCACGCCAGGTGTGTGTGCATTAGTGCCCCAAATCCTGAGAGGAGAGTGGAGGAGAAGGGATTGCAGCATGGCTCTCTCCCCTGGAGGGTAAGAATCTTTCCAGTGAGCTCATACACCCTACAGTAAAAATCTCTCTCTTAAGGGATCAGCAATTGGCACAATGGCTGCATCGCTGGACTCCCATGTAGTTGGCCACGGTTTGAGTCTTGGACCTGGTGGCTTAAGCTCACATTGGGCCCATGTGTGTGCGTGCCCAAGA